CCCGATAGCTGCTTCTGTAGAAGTGGGGTTTCCAAGATGGAGCTCTTATATAACTAGAGATGACTTCGTTGAGGAAAGTTGTGGTCCTCCCACTTTCCCGAGCTGTCCTTTCAGAAAGTGTTGCAAGGTGTCCTTTGGCTAGAAGCACAGAGCCGACTTCGTAACAGGGGTGCTGGAGCCACAGCTTGTTTTGGACAATCAAGAAACAGGGATAGTAGCTCTATCAGACAACACCCTTGGAAAGAGGTGCTTTTAAACATGAATCCGTGCTTTGTCCTTCTCCTCCTCCTCACTCCTTTTTCCAAATCACAGGCAGCAGAAAGCTGGAAAGCACAAGCAGTTCCAGGGGCAGAAGGAGGTGTGATGCTCCTGGGACCCAGCCTGGATTGTGTTACAACAGGGCAAGAAAGCCCTGAGTGTTAATGACGAAAACCAGAGAAGTTCCGATTACCACTCACGTGGTTCCTCTGCTCCTGGACCAGCTATTCTAGAATGTTTCTTCCCCACCTCGCCCTGGCGAGCTAGAGACTGCTTTAGGGCAGTGCAGCGATGCCTTAGACACTCTCCAGCAAGCTACTGGAGTCAGTATTCCCAGCAACACAGGCACCCATTTACAGTAGGAGCTTCTTCTCAGTGAAAGGTGTTCACACCCCTTCAGTTATTCCCGTGTGCCGCACAGTGAGTGTTTCTTATTTTTCTCTTGCGTGTGAATGCAAATGTATTCCGAGGAGTGGGCATGAGCTGGTAACTCCTGAGACTGACATTTGAAATGGGATTTGCCTCACTTGCATTCAGGTTGAAGATGATTATCTAGGTCTACTTTATGGGCAGCAGAGAGAAACAGGAATTCCTGAGGCACAGTGCATCTCCTTCTCAGGTAGACAAGTGCCACAAACCAGATGTGTCACCCTCTGGGTGTGTGTTTCCATCCAATGACTCTAATGATACAGTCTAGATCTCAAGGCCCAGAGTAGGTGAGCTAAATCCACCCTTGCATAAAGCAGATACTGTCCCTTCCTGTGCGGGAGGTTTGTGTCAGCTCAGTTGTGATCCTTCCCTCTACTCCGTGCTGGGCATGAGAGGGCAATCCCAAATGGCCTCTCTGAGCTCTGCAATGGGAACATCCGTGTGCTACAGGGGCAGATGCACTCTGGTGTTAATACAGAGGCTGGACTCTCCTCCTTTGTGTGTCTACACTGGGTCCTATGCTTACAGGTGGGTTACATGATGAGTGGTGACCCAGTGGTGAAGGAAGACCTGTGAACCAAGACATACGTACGCTCTGCACAGAGCTGCCATTTCTCAGCTGCCAGCAAACGTGTGAGTTATTAGTGCATGAGAGGAGGCAGCGGGGCCTAACAGCAGAAGCAAACATTTATTCCTGTTTTTCGGAGGTGCACTGAAGAATTAAGGCTTTCTGCCCTAGCCTGACTAGAATAGATCCCAGTCATCGTATAAGAAGCTCCATATCCATTCACCTTTCCCCTGAACCATCCATTCCCTCAGGCTTTTCACCCTCTGCTTTTAATATATGAAAGGAAGAAAGGCACTTCCTAAATCTGACAGGGTTTCTCCCGGTCCCTGGCTGGAGTTCCCTGGGTTACGGGAGGGCTGGAGCTCTTTGAAAAACACACATAGGTGGGAGAGGAAAAGTCATTAGCGCAGTAAAACCCTGGCGATACAAAAGCCCCGTTCAGAGATCCTTCTGCAAACTGCTGCTCTGGCTTCATTAAAAGCGTAGCCCGTGGCTGTCGCTCAAATAGGCCGGATTCGCTTGGGTTATCTAAATGAGAACGATCATTTCTGCAATGGAAAAAAAAAAGATTAAACCAGTCGGAATTACTCTTTATGAATTATGTGCTCAGCTTTCATACTGACCAATTGAGTCAGTATCGAGGGCTGGGTTTCCTAGAACAGCCTTTCATGCTGGATTTTGGATGTTTTCTTCTTTTCAGCCCAGAAAAATCACTAGAATGGCCTTTCTCACACTAAGAGACACTGTGGACTCCAGCTGCATCTCCGCTGCAGCAGAAATAATGGAGTTTAGAAGCAGTTACCCAAATCATGCATCCTTCTGGTTTCCAGTGTTCTGCTGTGGCTCCCTCCTGGTCTGGATGAGCATGTCAGCATCTCCCAATGCGTATGACCTCGTGGCATCCTGATTAGGTGGGGAGGTGTTAATATCTGGTGTGGAAACAGGCATTCAGATTGGACAACTAGCTCTGGCAACAGAGCGATGAGCCAATTTAGGCAGCTAAACCGACAACCACGATTCCTTTCTTTTATAACAAAAACTTTCTGCCTTTTTAGCTGCTTCAACTGACTCGCTGTGGGATCAGAGGAGGCCGATCCCTGGTACAGGCAAAGATGACAGGTACATACTGCCATGGGTGGTTGGAAGGAGAGCGACCTCCCTTGCCAGGGCAGCAAGGAGCTATATGGACTTAGCCATAGAGTCACATAACACACCTATGGCCATATTCCCTCTCGCCAATACTTCTCTGACAGCCATGTCCCTCGGTAGTCACCTGCCCATCCGGAGGTGATTCCCAGGTGGCTGGGTCACCCACTGCACATGCCTGTCTACCTACGCTTTAATAACAATGCAAACTGGAAATTGCTTTGCTATCTTCTATAAACCTGTCTCTGTGCCTTTTGGTCCACTGGCTGGTGCCCCATAAGAAAGTTGTGTTTACAGGTTTATTTTACAGCAGAAGAAAAGACAGTAAATCCTGCTACATCCCTAAGGAAATGATGAGCTTGGATAGGTGTTGCTGCGTGCTCTGCATGGCTCACTTGGAGGCCAGTTTTACAACAGTCACACTCTTACAAGAGGTGTGGTGGCAGGTCAGGAAACAGAACGTGTGACCACACAGGGCTGGAGCAGCAGGGCAGGGCCGAGGTGAAGAGCAGAGCTGCGGAGGGGGCACTCTGTGGGTAATGTAGCAGAGAAGCTGTGGGATGGAGTGAAGGGGCTGTGGCAGGGCTGTTGGGGAAATCCAGGACGGAGAGAGCAGGAGGGGCTGTGGCAGGGTGGGGTAGA